ATTTTGAGAACCACACTTTTTTGGATCGGGCTCTCTTGGACAAGCACAATTAGAGTTTTTTTTTTTTTTATTATTATTCTCCAAAAGATTTTGGGGTTTTCAATTGAATTATGCTACAAGTACACTCATTTTTACACTATCTTTAACAACCCTCTCACATCACACAAGTGGATCCAGTGATTAAAATAATCGTAGGGGCCCACTCATGTGAGTAGGCTGTTAAAATGAGTGTAGAGCAGGTGTTGTACACATAGTATAATTCTTTTCAATTAGGAGATTGGAGCAATTAGAATTTTTATTAGGCATGTACATTGCAAAAAAACGAGGGATAATGTAGATATTAAGAACGAACTTGACTTTTATACTCTTCATCAAGTATCAAGTCAATATTTTTATTCGTGAAAATTATCATATTTAGAATTGCAATGTCATTACTTTTACATTTTGCCCATGTTTGGTAGGACTAAAATCAAGATCTTAATTAAAATTAAAATTAGCAATTAATTTCAATAACATGTTTTATGGAATTCACAGCATTTTAATCACACAATTCATTAACTTTTATCAAAATATAGTAAAACTCTAATTTTAATTTTTGGGCGCATACCCTCCCTATTGTGAGGGAGCTATACAAATAACAAAACCCCTCCAAATTATGGTATGCTCTTTCTACAATGTGTCCTTTTCCTTTTACTCATTTTCTCACACAAAGAATATGGACAAGTAATCAAGGTTTAACTTCCAATCGTTGGCGTGGTAAGAAACCCTTAATGATGGTTATATAAAACGATTATAAGTTTAAAGAATTATAACTATAGTTCTCTTTTCACGTCATGCATAAGAAGAAGTTCATTAAAGTGGGGAGGTCAATTCTATAACTTGTGAATATTTTGAAATTTTTAACTGAATGTCAAAAAATTTGATTAAAGAGAATATTACATAGATACCTAGATGCTACGCAAGCGTGTGAAATTCTGCAAGGTGTGATAGCTTTGATGACAAGTTTTGCATCAGCACCACTGTATTACCATTAATTAAGTAATGATTAATTAAACATTAAAATATTTATAAATTATAAATTTCCCAGCATATTGTCAGACTCTTTTTGTAGAAGTAATAAAAAACTTATAATTGATTTTGGATTTTTCAGTTTTGTCATTTTCACATTTACTGCTGTGAGCGTTATTTTGGTATGACATTTAATGTTGACACTGAACATGGATTTCAAATTTTTGGAAATAATGGCATAGCATTGAACAAGAATAATAACTTTAAATATTAGCCAGATCATAAGAATTATGCATAATCAAATGCTATTCAATTCAAAAATAAGAAAGAAAAATGTAAAATTAACAGTCAATTTATTTATTTATTATTTTTTTTTTTTGAGAGAGAGACCCTCGTTAATGAAGTCTGATTTTGTTAGCTCAAAAACATAGTTTAGAAGAGTTTCAAATGCATTTACGTTATAGGTTGTGTTAAGCACATTTTGTTGACAGAATACAAATTGTTCTTTTATGAAATTAGCGACTATAAGGGGTAAGGTGTAAGTTCTCTATCAAAGAACATAAGCAAGGGCTTGGCTAATCAGTCGGGACTAACCTTATCGAGTACTCAAATAATACAAATTAGATTAGATAATTAAAACAATACACCCAAAATAACCCCCAAGTTCAACAAAAAAAGGAGTGGACTTTTTTAAGTTAATGAAAATAATTTTTACTAATATTCAAAAATGAGGTTCGATTCCCCCAACCCATTTACACATGTAAATATGAGGCCTTAAGTGATGAAAACTATCATTGTGGATGTTTATTAAACGTAATTTTCATTTAATCTAGAGTCACACGGCGAATCGTCACGACTTAACATCTAATTTTATGTCATATAAAAGTTGCATTCAATTTCATTGTTTATTTAAACAATTTTTGTTACATAAAGATCTAAGTTCACATATCTAAATAATTTGAAAAAAAAATTAACTACAAAGGTTTAATTCCACACTTTCAAAAATAAGAAACTTGCGAAAAAGTTCAAAAATACAATTTTGTGACTTATAATTAATTGAACGGGTCAAGGTCACAATAATGCATAATTTATAATCACGATAAGGTATTAATCACAAATTGTCCAACTTCATAGTTATAAAGATACAATTTATAGGTCACAATAGCAAATTTAGTTGTAAGTGTGTTTTATTTAAGGCACAATTATTTGTTGATTACAAATTATCAAATTAATTAATCACAAACCAACATCACACCCATCCCACATCATCCCTAACCCACGCAAAAGCTTCCTTCCAAACTATCGAAAATGGATTATATCGACGGCTGAATCATGCCATCATCTCCCATTCTCCCTTCCTGTCTTCGACCAGCCTCACGCTACATACTGGGGCCCAATAGATCCTAAATCCATTCAGTTCGCGAGGACCCTAAATGGAAACCCTCACACCGTCGCCCCATTCAAAGTTTCCTTCCATCACTTAATTACGTGAAATGGACTGCACCGGTGACGCGATCATGTCGTTGTCTCCCTCCGTGCCTTCAATCGACCTCACAATACAAATTGGAGGCCGAGCAAATCATAAAACCGTTCAATTGATGTGAAAAATGGGTATGGGGTTAGGATTAGGGTTATGGTTTCTACAACTAGGGTGGATGTGGAATTGGGAGGTTGCGGGGCGACAAATGGGTTTGGGGTTAGGATTAGGGTTACGTTTTCTACAACTAGGGTGGATGCGAAATGGGGAGGTTGCGGGCAACGATGGTGGAAGTGGTGGTACGGGCAGCAGTAATGGCAAGCAATGGTTTTGGGAGTGGATGCTAATTGTGACTTGGACAAAATGGATAAAAGGATGGATGGGGTGATAAGAGGTGAGATACGATTATGGTATAGACCTCATGTTTTTAAAGAATTAAGTTAAAATCTGATTTTTGAAATGGTGAGTTAAAAGTAAGGAATGTGTGTAATTTCCACATTTAAAAATAAGTTAACGACCACTACTTTATTTTGAAATGTTAGAGACAACCAACCTACCTCGAAGGTTGACACAGCTCGAATTTTCTCTTATTGCTACATAGATGTTTCATGTTTCTTAGAATTAACCTCTAATTATTGTAGTTCATTTCGAATAAAGTTATTTACAGTCACTCATTATCACAGTGACCTTAAGTAACAGACATGTGAGGATTAGTGATTTAATATATGTGATAAGAAAAAACTATCATAATAATATATCAAATCACAAATCATCATATAAGATGTCACATAAGGCGGCTACCATAATTAACGACTATAAATAACATTATTCATTCTTTTGAGTCCACACCAACTCCCACCGCCAACCCAACCCACACACTATACCCAAAAACAGAAGAAACTGCACTAATTATTGGCAGTCCAAGAGCGATGTGACTAGCATCTCTGCCGAAAAGAGGGAAAAATAAAAGGAGGGAATTTCTTAAAAGTCAAGCTTCCTCTCTCAATTCACCTGCCATTTCTGCAAATCTGTCCTCTCTCTCTCTTTTATTTGTTGTTCGTTTATGGAGAAAAGAAAAGCAGATAACAGTATAGATGGGATGGGAGGGAACAAAAAAGAATCACTTTTCAGTAAAATCATTGGCACAAACAGAGCACAAGTATTCATATATCATGCTTTTACTGTCACGTTAGCCTCGGTTCACATCAGATTCTCACGTCTCTACTCATTAAAAACAAAAAAGTAAAAATGAAATAATTATTCTGAATCTTCATCCATAAAGAATCGTCGAATAAAAAGAATTCAATCTGGTATTCCCACTTGCCATTCAGTTCATTTTTGTCCTGCAAATTTTTAGTACTTCTTTAGTAACTAAACATTTTATCATACTCGAGAAAAAGAAATTTAAATCTTATTCATAGCAGTGTTCAGTCCCCTGTGAACTGCTAAATGAACATGCTGAACGTGATTAACAGCTAACGGGAAGGTACCTGCTGATAAAGGAGGGTTGAAACTGCAGTATGAAACTTAGAGATGCCATAAAGTGGGAAGCGGTGAATCTTGAAATTGAATCGAACTCCAAAATGAAATATAATTAGAGAGGAAGTTAACAGTGGTCTTTGGTTAATCATGTCCGGTCTTTCCAAGTTAGCTATCAAAAATTTGAAGTATCTACACCTGAGTAGAAAACAAGAAAATTAGAGAATAGAACATAAATCTGCAGTACCATCAAGGAAAAGTAAAAGAAGATGAAAGCTCACCTTTATCGATTTATGGGCAAAGGATCGTCCCCATCACCCTTTAGGTTGAGTTTCTTTAAAACAATTGCCACCTACCAATGGGGACCAACAACACATATAAGAAGAGGTGCATTCGGCTTGAAATTACCATTAAATGAAGAAGCAATTTATGTGACGCTTAACTAGACGAAAGCGCATGCCTAGGACAATTATTATCTTGGCATGTGAAACTAGCCGCAAAACAATATTGAAACAAAATGGGAAAAAGATCACCGGTAACCATGAAAATTGAACGAGTTCATTTAAATCATGTTTGTTGTCATAGCTTAGGCATGGGTGAAAAAATTACAATTAAAATTGAGATGCACAAGGACACAAGCATGTTTGGTTAGGTGGACCCGAAAGTCCTATACAGCATTAACGTAGGAAAAAAAAGGCTAGAATCTACTCAATATGTGTGCCAAACATAATCATAATAATTAGACAGCATACAGCAAAGCATGCAATTGTTATATGCCCAAGGAGAGAAAGCATGCAAATTTAGATGCACTTGGGGGAAAGAGAGTGAGAGCGCGTACCCGGATCATAAGTTTACAATCATACCCTCCTTCAAAAAAAGCAGAGCTCTGTATAACCATGCGAGTATGGTAACAGCTCTTCCACCTCAATCCTGGAGTTGGAACAACTCATGCTCTTCCTCAACCGGTTGGGGACTGACTCTATCTCGGCCCAAAACATGCTAGACACGGGCCTATGATCTGAAAACCTAAATTCACCACGGAAGTATGACAACTGCTGAAGCCCACTTCCATGCCATAGAATTCGATCGCACCTTCAGATATGGAAGTGCCCAAATCAGTATTTTACTTATAAACATCGATAACTTAATCTAATAATTATTCGTCCAGACATATTCCTTTAATTCACTTAATTTATAAATAAAATAAATCAAATTTGGAAAAATGAAGAGCTCTTACCATGCAGGTGTCCTCCTTTTCTCTTTTAGGTGAATATTATCACCTGTGTATCTGTCTGAATTATGAGAATATTTATATGTTGGAGGGAAATATATCTTCCCTTCTTTCCATCCATCAAAAACTCGACCTCGTGTCTGCTCGATCCGCAGCTGTTAAGAAAAATAAGAACTGTTTATTTAGTTGGATGTCAACCAATTAGTGACGAAAATGAGCCCAGAATTTGAGAAAACATAATAGTTAATTTTCATTAAGACTATAGGTACCTGGTCCCTTTCTAACAATGCTCTCCAGTTTTGCATCTCAACAAGTGCTTTGGCAGGCCGGTAGGGCAGTGCTACTCGATAGTTCAGATCGCCAATCCAAATAATCCGACTAGATCAAAATTTAGACTATAAGTACATAATAACCGTTCGCTATGAAAAATAACAAATTTAAACAACGAAATAATTCCATTTTCAAGATGATATGAAAACATCAACATTGATTACTCATATAATTGAAATTGAATAAGTGGAGGAACAATTCATAAGCACTTTTGTAAGGATCAATGAATTTCAATTAAAAAATCCAACTGCTCCCCACTTATTTATATGCAACCCATTTTTACTAATTCATTTACTTTTTCCACTTCTGCATATGGAAATAGAATTGATTGATTTGTCTGCAAGCAAGAAATCTTACTCGTGTTCAAGGATTGTTTCTGGGGATTTCTCTTCACTGATGGTGTTAACTCGTGGGAACCTCGTTTTCCTTAGGATTTCCATAACATCAGCATTTCTACGTAGTTCATCGCCATCCTTCTGACCTGAAGTCAAGTGGCTGCACACAAAACAAAGGCTAGTCTGATGCAATAACATGCTGATCGCAATGGAGCCCTGCAAAAGAAAGTATTAGTTATTTTCTGAATGGCATCTAGGAACACTAGGTTAGCCATCCTATTCAATAATCCTACGAAAAATTACCTTATTTCCAAGGTAACCCATCAATCCTCTGCCAACACACGATACTTTCATGTTCCGCACATGTTCCCGCAATTCACTCCGAACCCATACAGTGAGAAAAATGCCTACCATTTGTTTGCTGGCAACTAAACAGTATCTAGAATGCTCAGGCAGTCTGTTTCCCTCTTCCATTGGTGCATGTCCATTGTAGGGCATTGCTGAATACAAAACTGTACTGGGTGAATTCCCAGGCATATAATCCTCGTCTGAACCCCATCTGGAGAAGTCACTTGGCCTCTGACCACATGAGTAGTCACTAGGCCTTTGGCTCCACGAATAGCCACTCGACCTGCGACCAGAGGAGTAGTCACTTGGACGGCGACTAGATGAATAATCACTTGGCCTCTGACTAGAGGAACAGTCGCTTGGCCTATAACCCCATCTGATAGTTGGATCGAAATCACTAGCCCTATGACCAAAAATTACCCGGTCGCAAACACTAAATCGCCGATCAAGGCGAGGTTGTGGGACGTCATTCTCCATTCTCCAATGTTGTGGTGTCTGGAAAGATCGACGGTGCAACAAAGAAGAGGCCTTTTTCCTGATTGATCCCTCAAAGTCTGCATTCCATTCTGCAATTGGATCAGGGATAGGAGATGGTGTATAACGCCCACTGCCCGTACTAGTTCCCGGAGCATTGTTTAACGTTTTCCTTATAAGATGGAGCCAATTTTTGGCAGGGCCATTGTCTTCAGCGCCCAGAATATTACTGGCATTCAAAGGAACTATTTCTTGAAATCTAACCAGTGAAAGAAAATAAGAACTTCTGTTAGTCGATAAGCAGAGTTATAAAATTAAATGCACAAATCACAAAGTGAATCTTACCCCAGTACATAAATGTCTGCAGGAGGTGCAGAATGTAGCCAATCATCTAGATTCATGTTGTTAGGCGGTGATTTTCCTCCCACGTTCCATGTTGAGACAAAGAGGCTGCTCCAAAAGATGCAAATTGTTATGAAATGCAATTACAAACTGAAGCCTATCTATGAAAAATGTCTATAAAAGAGGAGTACCTATAATTCTGGACATTTATTATTTGAGGATGATCGAGATAACCTCTCCCTCGTCTCGAACGGGAACGAGATCGCGGACGCTCAATGTTCTTGGCTGATTTTTCTGTAGAACAAAGTGGGGCAAAGAAATTAAGATAAATACATACTCAGAGTTGGGAAGGAGACGCATATAAAGTATACAAAATGTTAATAATAAACAATTCATATGTAAACATATGTCAGTAACATAAGTAAATTTATAAGCAATTTCAACATATATCTGTGGGATTTTCAAAATTATGCATGTGCGGACTAAAACATAAAAGTACAATCCAAAAAACCTGTTCTGCTTTTCTTGATTGTGCATGGTTCCCTCTCCGCAAAGCTATTCCTCCATTCAAAATCACCCCCTAGAAAGAGAACCATCATTAACAATTCAATCCTCAAATCAAACAGAGGTAATTCATATCATTGATAAAGATTCTAACAATTTACCAAGTAAACAGAATGATAAATCTTATTGCTCGAAATACACGTTATAAAAGTATATTTAACAACTTCATCAATTAATGCAGAAGGAATAAAAAATAATAAAAATAAAAAAATAAATTCAAATAGATAGGAAATTTAGTTTCACTTCTACATTTTTACAGCCACAAAATGAAAAATCCAGTATAAAACTGAAGAAAAATAAGCTAAAACATCGTTTTATCAATAGAAGACAAAACAAGAAAACTGAAACATTCTTAAAATGTTTAATTTCCTGATTTTCTCAGCAGCCAAATTCCGACTATACAAGTAACATAAAAGATTAAGATAGGACAAAAGAAATGACAAAGTGAACAAAAAAAGAGGTGAGAAATGTCAAAAAATTAACAAATACTATCTATCTATCAACAAATTCGTAAGGAAAAAAGTCAATCAGACAAAAAACGAAAAACAGAAATCAAGGAAAACTAGAAAAATGAAGTATACCAGAAATAAATCAAACCTATAAAATCCAGAAAATTGAACACAGTACCTCTATAAACAACTTCATCAGCCTGAAATTCTTCACTTTTACATTTGATATTGAAACATTTTCTAACCAGTTTCTTTGACCATGAGAGCTTCATGTTGCCCAAAAGAACAAGGGGAAAAAGTCAGCAAAAAATTTCAATAAAACTATTATTAATTTTAATTCCCTGGAAAATTAAGGGGAAAAAACCTTGCTTTTCTTGAAATTTTCATCTCTCATTGTTTCACCTATTTCTTCATGCGGCACTCTTTACACACTTCCTCTTCCCCCTTCTTTTCACAAATTCAGATCCTTTTTCCGAAAAATCAAAAGAAAAAAAATTCAAGAAACTATGAACCCTTTAAAGTTCACTATTTTCAATGTCTTCTGTTGAGGCTCCAATCCAACTTCAATGCAAAAATCTGATCAAAATTCCAAACGGGCGTATCTGATTTTCCTTAATTCTTCAGTTCTTCGGCATTCTACTTCCTGGGCATAATTTCTTCATGAAGCCCCTAAAGAAAACTCAAGAATCACTCTTGTAGTGTTCATATACATGTATATTAATATGTGTAGTGCACAAAGAGGTTAATGGAAATACAGTAGAAAAACAAAAGTGCCCAACTCGAGAAACGCGAAAGGAATGACCAAGAATGAGACAAGACTTCAACTTAAGAACGAGATTATGCAATTATCACAGTCTAGAGAGATTAAAGAAAAAGGGCTTTGCTTTCTTTTCTTTTGCTTGAAACGCAGCCTCGTTTTGAGTAGTAAATAGTAACGGCAAAGTATCGAATTTGAATAGAATAAAGTGTGCACTCTCCCCTCACACTATCACACACACACCCATATGGGTGTGGGTGTGTGTTTCTTACTTTTTTTTTTTACCCAACCCCAAGGTCGGCCCATCAGCATGATTTGGGGCAACCAGCGTGTCGTTTTACTCCAATTCAAAGGCCTAAAACGACTGGATCAGCCGACCGAACCCCGTCCCTTTTCTTGGTCAGCAAAGTGTTAAAATTGTGAGATCTGCTAAGACTAATACATCCCTTTTGCCATTTGGTCGAACAAACAAAGTTAAAGCACTTAAAGAAAGACAAATAAAGAAAAAGCTTTGTATGTAGAACAAACAATATTACTGTACTATTTTCTATATTCGATTTTATTCTTATATATTTTTGTTTTTTTAATGTTGTCCTGTTGCTTTTGCTATGTTATTTTTTCTTTTCTTGGGACGTGGATTTTGTCAGTAAGAATTAAGGTATATTTTGGAGGAAGGTATTGTCAATTGTTTATGTTTGTGTATAAATGGATACTTCTCATACATATACATGGGATTTATATGGTTTTAGTTAGTTATAAAATCTTCAGCACTAATCCATTATTTGGTATTGTGGTATTAGAATATGTTGAACAGGGGAACCGGGAATGCAGCTGAACAAATTGAGGCTAAGAATAATGTTTTGCGATTTGACAGAGTAGTTGTCTGAATTTAATGAAGGTGGTCCTCCCTTCTCAATCCTGGAAAAAGCCAAATGATCTGCGAGGTCGTGAGTCCCCATGAATAAAATAATCTCGATCCCCATGTGTATGTGTTGTGTCAATACTGCGGTCATTCATACGAGCACTATAGCACGGCTCCTCAATCCATTAGTTCTCATGAGAAGCTATCAACTCTTGTACGATATCACTACAACTTTGTTTAAGATCTTTTCGTTAATAAGGAATATGGATGTTCTAATATTCTTATTTTATTTAAATTTGTTTTTGTTGGAGAGATTTTACAAAATTCATTACTCATGTTTCGGTCGTTTTGCTACTCAAGTATCACTACAACTTTGTTTAAGATCTTTTCGTTATTAAGGAATTTGGATGTGCTAATATTCTTATTTTATTTTAATTCGTTTTTGTCGGAGAGATTTACAAAATTCATTGCTCATGTTTCGGTCGTTGTTTTGCTACTCAAGTCCTAGATAATCAAGTAGAATCTTTCAGTCGTTGTTTTGCTACTCAAGTTCTAGATAATCAAGTAGAATCTTTGAAGAACATCATTATTGATGAAGCTAGGTGCAAATATGTATTATAGTTTACTAACTTTAACATACTGAAAGTCGTATAGTGTTTTGACTTATTGAAACGTAGAAATGTGTAGGTCCAAATTGTATTGACGAGATCTATGTTAAAAATCATAGTTTATTAAGTTGTAATTAAGGTCAAAAAGTCGGGGTTGGAAGTATGTTTTGAAAGAGTTACAGAAGGAACAAGGAGAAAATGTCGCGCCTAGCCACCGACCAAGCGGTTTTAACAATAACTCCACCGCTCACTGTCCGCGCCATTAGCTCTCGAGCAAATGTGTTATTCATTTATTCGCCAACCCTAATTCTATCTTCAACAGATTTTTCAATACTAAATAACCTCAAACAGTCCAGATTACATATACCCAAGTCATAGTTTATCCCAAACTTCTCTAAAAATTGTTTGAGCCTTTATTTCGGTCAGAAGACCATCTTACAGAGATGAATGCATATTCCATAAATCTTTTGCCTCATAGAGAGAGAAAAAAAAATCATCTACCAGTAATCTTTCAGAGTTTTGAAGTTCGGAAAAGATAGTTGGAGTTCCAGTTGGAGAAGAACGATTAGTTCTTGGTGATTCACATGGAGGGAAAAAAAGCCCAGAGGTTTTGGAAAGAAAAATAGGTACAATCGAATAGTTTTCGGTGCAATTGGGTGGTCAAAGTTTACTAATGTTTTTAGTTTTGTCTAGATAAACTGTAAGTTAAATCTTTTTTAGTGGATTTAACGGACAAGGTTTTCTCGAGGTTTTTTTATCATCGTGAAGAGTTTTTTAAAGATCTTCCTTCGTTAACATATATTGTGGTATTCTTTACTTTTACTGTTTTGGTCCGCGTGTTTGATTTATTAATTAAGGTTTAATTTAATTAAACTTGTTCGTCTATGCTTATTTTTGGTTATTAATTTTAATTTAGTATTATATATCTACTCACCCTCCTCTAAATGTTAGTTGGGTAGAAACATCAATTATGTCAAAGAAGAAAATGAGAATTTGTTCAAAGCGAGAGTTCAATTCTCTTTCCCAGACAAATTTGTCCCACACAAATGTCCACTGTTGGATGACAATCATCTTCCAATCCAGAGAAGCAACGAACTAGACAAGATTTGAACTCTCTTCACAAAATCATGACTAAAATATGCAAAATGATATGTTTTGGGTAATAGTGTAGAAAATATGTAAGCGTGTCAATGAATGAATGATTTTGTAATATTTGGGGTTTAGTTATAATATATGAAAATACGCGATTATTTGAAAATACAAGATTGTTGGAATAGGTGTAAATTTGAAGAGACGTACTTGTTTGAAAAGAATAATTCTAAAGTCATAATTTTTCATTTGAAAAGATACAAGTTCTCTCTCAATAAGATTCTAAAATATTCCATCACATGGCACACTGGACGATAATTTGGTATCCACCACGTTCTAATTCAAAGTTTCAAGTTTTAATCGGCTCATATTCGACCTTCATTTCTCATTCACTTGAAATTAGTTTTGAGCAACAAAATATACTACGATAATATACTCGCGAGCACAACAAGTTCAGTTTTCAACTTTCGTGATCAATTAACAGATTTCACTAAATAATTGATCAAATTTAGTCAAAACTAATATTCTAAAACCAATTTCTAACATCAAGGTTGGTAGATGATGTAGAAATGAAAAAGGAAAATGACCACAGCTTGGTAGATGTAGAAATTGGAAATATATATATATATATATATATATATACACACTTTCCTATAAGACATGTACTCTTTATGATTATTTTGGGCATATATATATATATATATATATATATACACACTTTCCTATAAGACATGTACTCTTTATGATTATTTTGGGCATAAGCACTTAATTAGTGAAAAAATTAATGGATTTTGTAACAAATAATTGTTTATTTAGCTGACGGCGGAAGTGCTTATTTGGTCCCATAAAACCTCTATTGACGAACAAGTATAATTCCTGACAAATTTCATTAAATTTCCCACTAACCAAGTGTAGCATCCACTATAATAAGACATTTTTTGGGTCCCAAAAAAATTTGTGATCATTAAGGTATTGTATAAAGTCATATGGTTGTCCAAACTTGACAAATTCTTTTCTTGGGTGGGTGTCTTGGTTGTCAAATTAAATGCCTTGGTGTCCCATGACATTATGTTTTTGTTTTATTATATTTTTGGACCCTAATAAAGTCTTGAGGAGTGCTATAAATTATAATCACTCAAAATGAGGATTTCAGAAAATAAAATTTATTAAATGAGGCTAGAATCTCTCTCAAATTGAGAGTCTAACATGTCAAATTGACTTTATAATAATAAAAAAGTGAATAATGGTAAACATCTATACTTTTATTTGTTGTACCGTGTTTAAATTGTGCTCAATGTTCTTAAGTTTTGTTGATTATAATACTTATGTCCCTAATTTTTCGATCAATTTATCTTTAATGTTCTGTTAATTATCATAGCTAGATGATTTTTGTAAGAATATTTTGTTTGTATGCTTTTAAATGAGGAAAAATTATTTTATCACATTTTTATATTGTTATTATTTTAAATATGTGAAAAAATAAATCAATTTAGCCCCACCCAACAAACCTTCAAGAAGAAACTGCTATTAGGGACGAGATTTGTTAATTAATGAACAATTAAAAATAAGAATGAGATTAAAAATTTCAAGGACATAAATGTTATAATAACCAAAGATTGAGAAACTTTAAGGGTCCATTCGATAGTAAAGGTGGAAACGGCAAATCAATTCTATGTAAGTTGGAAAAGAAAAAAAATCACCAAAATCATGAGAATTCGATTTCCATGGAATTGGCCAAAAACATGCTTTAAGTGTTTATACATTGTAATTCGAACTCCATTTCCAATTTTATATCAATCAGTCAAANATGTTTTGCGATTTGACAGAGTAGTTGTCTGAATTTAATGAAGGTGGTCCTCCCTTCTCAATCCTGGAAAAAGCCAAATGATCCGCGAGGTCGTGAGTCCCCCATGAATAAAATAATCCCGATCTCCATGTGTATGTGTTGTGTCAATACTGCGGTCATTCATACGAGCACTATAGCACGGCTCCTCAATCCATTAGTTCTCATGAGAAGCTATCAACTCTTGTACGATATCACTACAACTTTGTTTAAGATCTTTTCGTTAATAAGGAATATGGATGTTCTAATATTCTTATTTTATTTAAATTTGTTTTTGTTGGAGAGATTTTACAAAATTCATTACTCATGTTTCGGTCGTTTTGCTACTCAAGTATCACTACAACTTTGTTTAAGATCTTTTCGTTATTAAGGAATTTGGATGTGCTAATATTCTTATTTTATTTTGATTCGTTTTTGTCGGAGAGATTTACAAAATTCATTGCTCATGTTTTGGTCGTTGTTTTGCTACTCAAGTCCTAGATAATCAAGTAGAATCTTTGAAGAACATCATTATTGATGAAGCTAGGTGCAAATATGTATTATGGTTTACTAACTTTAACATACTGAAAGTCGTCTAGTGTTTTGACTTAGTGAAACGTAGAAATGTGTAGGTCCAAATTGTATTGACGAGATCTATGTTAAAAATCATAGTTTATTAAGTTGTAATTAAGGTCAAAAAGTCGGGGTTGGAAGTATGTTTTAAAAGAGTTATAGAAGGAACAAGGAGAAAATGTCGCGCCTAGCCACCGACCAAGCGGTTTTAACAATAACTCCACCGCTCACTGTCCG